TTTATCAATAATTTAAATATAATAAGACGAAAGAACATATGTTTCTACGATATTTTAGCACGCGCTCTTCCAACATTCAATCACATGCGAGATAAGAAGCACCATTAAAAAGGGGACCAAAAAAAGTGGCCAAACTGCCGAATAATCTCCTCGTTTACCTACTAAAGCCCAGGTACACTATATACGGCCCAATTAGAAAATTTCACAAAGTCTGGCGGCCCGGCCCGGCCCTTTGTTGACTGAAACATCCAAAAGAGCGGAGGAGGAGGGGTTTTTGAAGAAGAAGAAGAGAGTAGTAGAAATGGCGAAGTCCTGTAAGGGCCTTGCTGTGGAGTTGGTCAAGTGTCTTAGCGAATCCGATTGCGTTAAGGTATCCATTTTTTAATACTTTTCTCGTTGATTATTTACTTAATTTGTGTAGTTGCTGAAATCGAAAGAGTCATTTGGTTTGATCTTCTAGGTTGAGAAGAAGAGTTTCAGGGAATGTGCGAAAGAAAAGAGTCCATGTATTCCTAGTGAATGTGTAGGACTAAGGGAAACCTACTTCAATTGCAAGAGAGGACAGGTATACTTTATCAAAATTTGCAATATGTTTTACATCTTTACCTGCTCTTCATGTATTCGAGTGGTCCGATGAACTTGTCTTGTATAGCTTTCTTGCTTCTGCACTATTAAATTTGTGGAGAGTTAGTCATCTGCTCATTGCTTAATGTAATTACTTTCTCTAGTTTGATCTTTGGAAATGGTTATTCTTGTGCAAAGTTACGAGGCGCGCCTGGAAATGTCGTGTATTATTGGGGGAGAATATAAAGAAGTGTCTAGAGAGGATTCATATAGCCAATTACAATTAGTATGGGATTGAAGCATGATTGATTATGATCAATTGATGTTTATTGGATCTATTTTAACAAATAGATCCCTGCCATCAATTACTCCACCCCTCCTGCTAGGTCTTTTGAAAAATTTAACCCTACTGGTCAGATTTCACCCGTTGCCTAGCTTTTCCTGTATATAAAACAACAGGATTTTTGCACATAATCCTTGTATCATAACCTTGATCTTTGGTGGCGTGGCAGTAAGTGAAACACGTTTTTGCAAATAGTAAATAGAGAAATATTGAGAAGTGTATGGAGAACCTTTTCCTTTGGCAAAAATTGGGCATCATTTTGGGATGAGCCAAGATGGGAAGTAGGACACATAAATAGGAACACAAAGTGAGGAGAGACATTCTGTTTCAAGAGAGTGGACTTCATTGTTGTGTAGCTCAAAGTAAAAATCATGAGGTTCAATTTGAAATGGAAGGAATATTTGTGATGTTTGACTTGGATATGGATAGTGCATCCTTTGAGGTAGACAGGAGTGTCCCACTTTGTTATGATTGATAGGAATAGCTAGTTAGTTTGTTGATTTTCCCTCAAAAGATTTTGCTTCTGAAAGTTCCATGATTGGAGAGATCCAATAATTTATCTGAGCACACCTTGTGGGGGTACTCTCATGGGAAGTGCTTCCAAGTGGCACCTTGATGGTATTCCTATGTTCCTGTAAGTTGGTCGAAACCACTTTGACATTGTCTTCCTGGGTGATCATTTTTTAAAATATCAAGTAGCAAGATTTTATTGTTGGTCTTTTCAATCACATGATAATTGTAAAACTGAATGCAGAATTTGTTCTCTAAATATAATTTTGTGGGGAAGATGATAATAGCTATACTGATAGGTTTGTAAGACAATCCTTTGTCCCATATATTCCTTATTTGTGTGTTTGTGGGCGGTGGGTGGATTAGGCCAATTTAAACTACTTACTATCACTTAAAAAACGTTTGCTTGGAAAACCAAAGAGTTGGAGCTTGAATGTACTAGTTGGATCTTTCAGGCTCAATGCTTCCAGCATATGCAAGTAGTGATTTGATAGGGGAAATTATTAACCAGATAAAATGTACAAATCACGGTCCCTGAACACATTGGTTTAAGAAGTAGGGAGGATGGCTAGTGAATAACAAAATAAAGGATTATCTCAGTAACCTATAGCCTTCTATAGATCCTTGGATGCAAAAAAATTCAGACCGAGAGAATAGTAACTGGTAAATTTCAGCGTATGTGGCTTGATTTAATCTGAACTTGAATTCTGGAAATGATTTCATGTTCCTCATTTCAGTTCATTCTTCAACCTAATTCCATCAGATTCAGGATGTCAATGATGTTACATCAATCTCAACAGCTGTGTTGTTTGTGTCTTTAAGCTTTGAGCTGAATACAAGGTCTTCTGCTATCCTTGCCATTTTCTCGTGATCTTTTAGTGATAATCACTTTTGAAGTGGTGCCTATAACCATCCCTACATTTTTTTGCACAAGCTGGTGATTAGGTATTGGACAACCAACATACCAGATGAGAATAAATCATTATGAACGTATCAAATTAAATAGATCACTTATGTGAAGTTTTAAATCTAACTGCAGATATGCTGATGTTTGTTATGCTGGCAATTTTTACTTCATTTTTGCCGTTTAAAGTGTCCTCTGGAAACAACCTCTCTATCTCCATGAGGTAGGGGTAAGGTTTGCGTACACTCTACCCTCCCTAGACCCCACTTGTGGGATTTCACTGTTTATGTTGTTATTTGCTGTTAGAATTGTACTGCTTTGTGCTGTTTGCAAGAGAGAGAGATCATTGTGGATTAATTTATGAATTCTGATTTTGGTGTTGTGGACGTGAATGCTATAATTGTTTTTCTTGGCCTTGGTGGTATCTCATGGATTTGTTTAGTTGTCTAAACTATAAGGCATTGTGTCGCTGTTGAGGAAGGGTGTCAGATAGTGACGAATTCTAGATTCTTCTTGTTAGTTAATACTGGATTTTGTTGATATAACATTCTTGTATTGACTTATCTAAAGTAAAACTAAATAGAGCTTTATTATGATGGAGGATCTGATATGACACGTGATTGTTTAAGTTAAAAATACATGTGAACAACAGTTACTTGTGCATGGTTGGATCCCATAAGCTTAAATAAGATTACATGCTTCTTGTCAGCTTGATCCAACATGCCCATTTTGCACTGTGATATTGACATTCATCTTCATCCTATCAACACTCCCTCTGACCAACTGTTCTCTCTTTCAGCTGGACATGAGAGCTCGGATTCGTGGAAATAAAGGCTATTAATTAGTAGGACTGGCGCAAATTCCACAAATGGGAAGTACAATATTTTCCTGACTGGACTGCATGTGTTAACTTGCAGTGTTTTGTACAAATTGCAATCTACAATTTTCTCAGCGACAGTGTCGCACATATACAAAGTTTTACCTGACAAACTTTGTACCTGGTGCTTCGGCCCCTTCTAATTTTGAATAGCGTTGATATTGGATGTGAAACTGTGGAGGAGGGTTTAGTTCTCACTTTTCATCATGAATGATTAATTTGTTTTTCTTTCACTGTTGTGCCATGCTGGAGAGACTATTTGTTTATCTATTTTTTAGCATAGTTCTTGGTGGGATTATTTGTCCTTAATTCAATAAAATGACCCTCTTTAAATTTTGTTTTTTCCCTTTTCTTTTTCCAGTTTTCCCCCGCTTGTATGCGACTTGTGAGCAAGGTAGAACGAATTTGGTTTGTCCAAACAGGGACTTACATGATTTGTTTGAAAGCTTATCTTTAACCCATATATAAATTTAGAAGGGGCAAAAAAAGAAGACAAAGTAACTTCACTGGAAGAGCCATTTAATGGGTATATTTAAACCCAAATATGATACACAAAAGTACCCAATATCAAACAAATGTTTACCATATTTTCTTATATACTTTCAGTTCTTAATTTATATGTTATAGTACTGTAATATAATTTTAAATATCTAATTATTTATTTTGCTAAAATGAAAGTTACTACTCCCTCTGTCCACTTTTGTTTGTCATTTTGCATTTTTCGAAAGTCAAATTGATTAATTTTCAAAGTTAAATTAGATTATATTAATTTGATATTTTAAATTTAAAAAATTAGATATTAAAAAACTATATGAAAAATATTATACATTACAATTTTTTGCAATATCAATATGATGAAAAAATATATCGAAAATCATGACAATTAAAAGTGGACGAAAGGAGTATCAAAATGAAAAATTTAACTCTCGTAAGAAAGAAAACCGAATGACACTGTAGTTTTGGGGTTCATTAGCAGTTTTCATTGCGCTCAGAAAAGAACCATTCAACTTCCCATACAACATAAAAACAATGACGATGGAGGAGCCAGATTTGCCGGAAGAAGCGTCCGTGGATCAACAGTCCGGTACCGGAAAGTCCATTACGCCTTCGTCGATGATGGCAGATAATGCCGCAACTTCAATTGCCAATCTCCGCAAACTCTCCGACTCCCTCTTAGCCTTGCAATGCTGCTTCACTGAGTTAAACCAACATATCAATTCCATTCGGTCCATAATTCACTCTGTGATACCCGGACTTGCGACTAATATCAGTACTCTTTTACCCGCCTCATCACCGCCAGCCGCGGTGTCCCCCGCCCCAACCCCAGCCACAGAACCATTCCGAAAGCCAGCCACAGAACCACTCCCAAAGCCAGAACCATCTTGGGAATCTGAAGAAGAAGAAGAAGTAGAAGAAGAATTGCAGTCCCATCATCTTGAAAAAGTGCGATCCCTACCGAAGAAGTGCAATCCCCTCGTAGCGAAGAAGTGCAATCACCTCATCGTTCAGAGCTGAAATTCCCTCATCATTTAGAGCTGAAATCTAGTCGTAGCAAAGAAGTGCAATTCCCTCATCGGTCAGAACTGAAATCCCGTCGTCGTTCACAGCTGGAAAGCCTCTGCAAATCAACGAACGGCCGTGATCTTCGGAGGTACATGGTAACGCGACTCTCAGATATAAATAGACTGCTCGAAGAAGTCCCTAAGGCATTGAGGCTCTCGCGCCATCCGGCAAGGTTTGTATTGGAATGTATGGGAAAATTTTATTTTCAGTGGAGCAACTCTTATACTAAAGACTCAGGCATGGTCCGGGGAAGGAAGTCTGTATTAGTTTTAGAGTGCTTCTTATTGATGAGAATTGACATAGTTGAGATTGAGAAAGAGGTGAAAGAAGAGGCTGAGAAGGCAGCGTTAGCATGGAGAAAGAGGTTGATAGCTGAAGGAGGTGTAGGAAAGGCTTATGAAATGGATGCGCGGGGTTTGCTATTGCTTATGGGATGTTTTGGGATTCCAGGAGGATTCAGACATGAGGATATCAGGGATTTGCTTCAGATAAGTCACATCAGCAAGGTTTCTCGTGCACTCAGGAGATCAAATGTCCTCATGGCTAAGATTCCAGGTATGTTCTTCGTCAATTCAATTTGTCTATAAGTTACATTTGCATCAAATGTCCTCTAACTAGTCTGATTGAAACAAAGTTACCTAGAAGCAACCAATAAGTTTTGGGGTTGTTCTAATATACTCCCCTGTCCTAATTTATGTGACACGGTTGGAATTTCAAGATTCAAAATTCTAAACCTTGATGTGAATTCGGACATAGAAGCTTTAAGTTTCTTGAAATAAAATTTATATATATTTGGAAACTACATAGAAAGTACTATAAATCATAATAATTAACAATTTAAATATTTAAAAGGCATATAAAGAACCAAGAAAAAGTTGGTTAACTCTCGAAATTCAATTGTGCCATATAAATTGTGAGGAGGGAGTACTTACCAAACAAACAAAAATATGGTTTTCCTTTCCCTTTTATTTATTAGTGTCTTGCACTATTTTATGTTGCTTGTTTTCCTCCTGGTTCCGTCCTTCCCTTTTCTATTCATCTCAATAGCTTCAGAGGCATTTGTCCTTTCCTTCATTATGCTTGGGACACACTAAGAGCTCCCACCCTTTTCATTTATCCAACCTGAGACGACAATTTTTATTTTATTTGGTAGCACCGAGTAACTGGCCTAATAACACCTCTTAGATTTTCACAAATAGTTGTCTGAGCATCCGAATCCCCATCTGCTAGTACTTTGGACCATACCTTAGGTCTTTGAGGACAACAGCTTCCCAGATATTCTATTGTCCTCCTACTGTTGTCCCACAATGAATCATGATTATAAATTTTTGTATAAGAACATAGCTGTCATGCTTATAATCATATCTTTCCTGGCTAAGATCTCATACACAGTACTTTTTACATGAAATTTTTTTCTTGGTTGAGAAATGGTATAGTTGTAATGAAATTGCAGCATTAAGGAAGTGCTGAAATTATGAAATATGTACAAGCGAGCAGAAAAACAAAAGGGATGTCCCTTTCTAATCTTGCGGGGATTCAAATAGTAGTACTATATTGAACTGTTGCTAGTTGACCAGACGGATCATGCTTATAAAGTTTGTGATCCTGGATGATCTAATGCTCATTTTTTTGGTGGTTCAGATGCATTTCTTGGTAAGTATTAGAAGCTGCTCAATCAATTGAGCTAATTTCAAAGTTTGTGCACAGTTTCTTGTTGTTTCTTCATTTGCTTCATTTGTGTCGCTTAATATGTATTAGAAGCCACTCAACCAATTGAGCTAATTTCAATGAATTTAGAAGTATCACCTCACTTTTTCTGATCTAAACAAGTAAAAGAAGTTTGTATAACACCAGTAGTTGTTTATTAGTGCGAATAAGTGCTTTTATGTGAACATGACTGGTTTATAGGCCAAATCACAATCTGGTGGTGTTAAAAATTGTTAATATCTAGCCATGGGTGAAGGATCATGCTAATTTTACTTGAGACTCGGTGACACAAATACAGAATGGAGGTATATTCAATGTCTGAATTTGAATGACGAAAATTTAAAGTATTTGTTGAACTGTCAACATCATTATTGGAAAGATAAATGAACTAAGCTTTGTGAATGATTAAAATAGAAAATGACATGGACAGGAACAAGCAGTCAGCGTTGGGGTAACTTTTCAATTTAGGTAATCTTAAAGTTCAATTGAAGGACCCTTTTCAATCTTGTATCTGCTTGGAAGTTACAAATCTGCCTTTCAATGTTTGTTTTCATTGTTCGTTGTTTCAGAGATGAAGCCTTATTATGTCATCTATCTCTTAATATGATTCATTTTGCATTTTTTCATACCTTTTCTTTATCCCAAGTATTGCATCTGACCTTGTCGCGCAGTTGCTGTAATTTATCTGCCTACTTAACACTGGTTTATGTAAATTTGTAACATAAATAATTGAGGGGATGGTGAAGCAAAATTTGGAAGTTGATGCTGTTCATATTGTCTACACTTCTGGAATTGAGGACAGGTTTAATCCTCGGAGACTTTTGACATCATTTTTACTAGACTCCAGAGAGTCATTGAAGAAAAGGAACAAAAAATCACAAGGTTCACTTGCTGCTGTGGTAATTCTTCAATTTCATTCCAGCACTGATAGCCCCCCCTCTCTGATTTCTCTCCCGTTCTCCTCAAGTTAACCATGCATTTTGTTATGTTGTACAGAATGAAGCAAAAAGGAAACATTTGTTTGATCTGACATCTGTCATCAAATGTTTGAAATGCCACGATATTGATCCTTCAAAACTTCTTCCTGGGTGGAAAATCAATGAGAAAATAATGGCCCTGGAGAAAGAAATTGGTGGATTTGATAAGCAGATAGGTAAGAATATGGCACAAAAGAGAAAAAGTGATGAAACTGAGTCGTCAAGAAGGTTCAGAAACAGAGAAGCAAAACGCTCATGTATTCCGCCATGGCTACGACAGCAAAGAGTTGATGCTCATGCCAATAACAATAACACCTTGCCAGAAGGTCGAACTACTGGCCACCTTCATGGTTATACTGTGTCCTCATCAGTATTGCGTGGGCCTTCTGCAGGTTCAATACATGAAAATATTGCTGGCTCACTTGTAGGAACTGTGGGAGGTGTGGCCATGGGTGTAGCTGGAGCAGGTATATTAGCAAGTGCCGATGGTATTCATGCAGGTATATCAGCAGGCACAGATGTTGTTCAGCAAGAAGGTCCATATGCTGGAGGTCATGGAGGGACTCTAGTTGATAGTACGCCAGGACAAATAGGGAGTCATACTGGTCAGTTGTATGGTCGGCACGGGAATGCAGCCGTGATGATAGTCTGGCTTCATGCAGCTATGCTTATAGGCCATCATCGTACTTGGAAGTTGGAAGGCTCTAAGGGGTTGCCAAACACCATGCATACTGATGCTTATAGGTCACCACCATACTTGGAAGGTTCTACAAGATTGCCAAACGCCATATCCGGTGATGCTGCTGGCCGGAGCTCTGCATCTGATATCTACCAGGTTGCTGATACTGTCACAGCAAGTGAATTACACATGAGCCGCGGCTTACGAACAGTTGATACCGTTTCATCTGCTGCGTCTGCTCATCCTTCATCCAACTTGTACCGGCCAAAATAGTTGTCTGTAAACCCAACCTAGAAGTGACTTCTATATGGTCTGTTAAGGCAGTCTCAGAATTGTGTTTATTAGTTACTAAAAACTCTGGACAGTTGTGTAGGCTTAGCATATTAATGTCTATAATCTACTAGGAAAAAAATAATTTCTCTTGTATATAAAACCTTCCTTTTGTACTCCATTCCGTTGAAACTTGTATTGTATTTGCTTTTATGATTTACCACTCAAAATGCTATATTTTCTCATTTGGAGTTGAAGGTGGGAAGGGAAGCACCCAAAAATTACTTACTAACTGCATATTGAGCTGTTGGATCTTATTTTTTTGTTGCAGAAGAGCTAGAAGCTGAAGAACAGGCTAATAAACGAACTTGTGAAGTACTTTTCTGGCTAGACTTCAGTTGCAAAAAAAAAATGTTGTTACACATTGCTTTTTAATAATTATATTTTAAATACTCATAGGATGTAATGTATATTTTTCATACTACAGGGAGATAAATATTTAATTTTATTAAAATGTATATTTTTCATAGTACAGACTACAGGGAGATAAATATTTAATTTTATTAAAATATAGAGATAATTTTCGAAATTGAGTCAAGTTAGCCTAATTAATTTTCACTCCGAAAAAGCCCAAATAAAAGAAGGGAAAAGGGTTAAAAATGCCCTTAACGTATCTCAAATAGTTCAAAAATGCCCTCCTTCCACCTTTTGGTTTAAAAATGCCCTCAACGTTTTTTAAGGTTTAAAATTGCCCTTTATTAACAGCACAATGACATGGCAATTGTGACATGGATTTTCTTTATCTATTTCAAAATATATGACCCACTTAGTCTAGAAATTCATTTCAAATTTGACCCGATATGACCTATTAATTTTGGATCTTTTGTTCCCGTTTGTTCTAACTCTCTTCTTTCTTCCTACCTCCTTCAGTTCGTCTTCTTTTTCCATTTTTCAGTTAATTTCAAGAAGAAAAGGAAGGAAGAACTACAAAGAATAAGGTTAGCTAAATCTTGAATTTGTTACTTGCTGACATTGAAACTTTCAAGAAGAAAATAAGATTTATCTTCCTTTGGTTCTGAAGCCTCCTGCTTCCAACTATAAACACCACCATTCAAGCTAATGACCAACCAAAAATCCAATTCCCAAGAAAATGAGCCATAAAAACAAAAGACTTCATTTGCCATCTCCACCCACAATTTGGTCCTAGCAAAGACTCTCTGGCCTTCTTCAGCCTAAAACTTTGAAGAGAAGCTCTAATTCGTGCCCAACAATTTGCAATTTACAGACATCTTTAATAGAATCCCTCTACATATCTTCAAAAAATGCCTTGAAAGCTTAGGAGCAAATCGACCCAGAGAAGAAAAGCTCATCAAAAGTCAATAATTGACCTGAATTTCAACAATTCTCAAGCAAAAACATCTCATAATTCCAACATAAAGCTGAAACTGATCAATATCAAGATTCTGCTGTAAACCCACCTTTACAAACTCCTAATCAAACTCCTAAAAAAGCAAAACATTACCTAAGTTGCAGAGTAATGAAATCAACTGTGTAAAAAATTGAAGAAACAAAAAAGTATTATCTGAAGAACATAACTAGAGGTGTTGTGATTTGCAACCCTCAATCGCCATCGTTGGATGCTACAAAAGAGGTTGAGAGTCGTCCTAAAATGGAGCTCAAAGATTAAGATAGGTTAATATGAAAATGGGTTTTTGGGTGGGTTTAAGTTTTTGTAGCACAGATGGGTCGGGTCGTTGGGCTGGATTTTAAAAATTAGGTGGACCAATAAGATAAAGTCACTTGGCTAATTAAATGAGTCATCATTTATTATGTTAGTGGGCTGTTAATAAAGGGCAATTTTAAACCTTAAGAAAACGTTAAGGACATTTTTAAACCAAAAAATAAAAGAAGGGCATTTTTAAACCATTTGAGATACATTAAGGGCATTTTTAACACTTTTCCCATAAAAGAACTATAAAAATTCATAGAGAATTGCACGAAAAAGCTTTCTCATTTTTCTCCTCTGTGTCGATTCTGCACGTTTCGACTTGTACTATGGTTGAACCAGCAGATGCTACCACCGCTGCGCCGTCTCCGTCACGGCCATCGCCGGCGGTCGAAGCTCAATCGCAACTCATAGAAACAGTAAATGCTCTGCAAAACATCACCAAACAGTCTGAATTTCTGCAGCCACCAACAAATGATGACTCAATTGTCAATTTCAGCAAACTCTCGGATGCTTTCTCCGCATTCCAGGTCTGCTTTGCTGAGTTACACCGACACGTTGTTTCCATCGGGACTTTAATCGACTCTATGCGACCCCTAGATACAACTAGTACTACCCCTTTATCTGTATCCTCACTTCCCGCAGCGGCAGCCGCAGCCCCAGAACAAGAACCAGAACCATCATCGGAATTCGATCCCTCTGAAGAAGAAGAAGTGGAAGTGAAATCCCCTTGTTTAGAGCTAAAATCTACTCGTTCAGAGCTAGAAAGCATCTGTGAAAGGACGGACGGTCGTGGTCTGCGGAAGTACATGATAACGCATCTCTCAGATATAAATGTACTGCTTGAGGAAGTCCCTAAGGCATTGAAACTCTCGCGCAATCCGGCAAGGCTTGTATTGGATTGTGTTGGGAAGTTTTATTTGCAAGGGAGCAGAGCATATGTTAAGGGTTCACCCGTGGTCAATGGAAGGAAGGCTTCTATATTGGTTTTGGATTGCTTCTTGTTGATGGGAATCGACGAGGGAGTTGAGTTTGAGAAAGAGGTGAAAGAAGAGTCGGAGAAGGCAGCTTTAGCATGGAGAAAGAGGTTGATTGCTGAAGGAGGTTTTCGAAAGGCGTATGATATGGATACCCGGGGTTTGCTATTGCTAATTGGGTGTTTCGGGATTCCAGGAGAATTTAGAAATGAGGATATCAGGGATTTGCTTCTGGCAAGTCCGTTCAAGAAGAATATTTCTGGTTCCCTCACAAGATCAAATGTCTTCATGACAAAGATTACAGGTCCTATTTTCATGAATTCAATTTGTCTGTAAGCTACATTTGCATAAATTGTCATTTGCTATTCATGTGAGATGGCGTGCTTTTAGTAAGTTGGTGTCTTTTAACTAGTCTGATTGAACAAGATCACTGATACAAGTGGATTGATTTGGTTGTATTGCTGTAAATAAAACTTTCCTAACTTAGGATAACCTTTAAAAATGCAAATAATTTTGACACTATGATGGACTTTACTCCTTGCATACTTGAAGGGGACAACAAATCTGCTCGCAGTTTGGAGACCATCAGTACTTGCTTGGTGTGTTCTTCTGTAAAAAATATACTTACCGAACTTAGAACTTTCTCTTCCTACTTGTTTACTGGTGTCTTGCACCTGTCCTTCCCTTTTTATTCATCTCATTAGATTCAAGGCTTTTTTCTTTCCCTTATCATACCCAAAAAGACATCAAGAGCTCCCACCCTGCCCATTTATCCAAATTGAGACACCAATTTTTATTTTGGTAGTACCTAGGAACTGGCCTAATACCACCTCTGAAATTTTCACAAACAGTTGCATGTGCATCAGAATCCCCATCCTCTATTACTTTTGGACCATACGTAGGTCTTTGAGGATAACAACTTCCCAGATTCTTTATGATCCTTCTTTTGCACGGTACACAAAGAATCATAATCCATGGTAATGATTATATTTTTGTATAGGAATATAGCTATGATTCTTGTAATTATCTTTCCTGGCTAAGATCTCATGCATAGAACCTTTGAAGAAGAACTTTTTGGAGAAATGCTAATTCTATTGAAATTGCAGCACTAAGAAAATGCCGAAATATGTACAAGTGAGCGAAAAAACATAAGAAATCCTTTCTATTCTTGCAGGATTCTAAAAGCTTTTTAAAAAGAACTTCTGCGTAACATCCTTGAAGTATATCCCTAACTTAAATTACATCCTCCATGCATCTCTATGAACAAAAAACATCCTTAATATTTTAAAAATGAGCTGCTTTCATCCTTCAGCTAACTACCTTTATGAAATTAACGGCACTTGAAAACTTCCGCAAAATATCTCCTTCAAGATCCAACCTGCTTTTCTTCAACTGCATTATCTCCCCACCACTTGTCATATTTGACTCTTTCTTCATATGCCCACTTGCATGATGAAAGTTTTTCGTTGTAGTTGTAGTCCAACTTCCCTCCTCTTACTCATACTCACTAGGAAACTTTCACTAGTTACTCAAACATCATACTGCTCAAACAGCACTGGTTTTTTAGTCCCTTGTCTGTTTCTCTTACTTTCCTTTTCCTCTTTTAGACCTATAGAGATTAGTTTGTATTTATTTTGCTTTCCAGATTAGCAGACAGTTGGAGTACATTTAGTGGTTGGTGTTATTAGTGGCGGATCCAAAATTTTAAAGTAATGGGTGCTCGCTACATTCCGAGCACATGACGTATTATAACATCTATTTAATCAATGGGTTCAACTTAGTCCTACATCTTTGATACCAAATAATTATATAAATAAAATATAATCCATATGGGGTCAGTTTATGGAGATCTATAAGAGACACGTGGGATGAGGTGAAGAACAACTCAAAGAAAAAAGTGGTGAATGGAAGAAAGACCAAGTTTTGGAAGGATGAATGACATGAAAAACGCAATTTGGAAGCTTTATTCTCATATATTTTCAATCTAGCTTTGTTCCAACAAAGATCCATACCAAAGTTATGGACACCACAGAGGTGGAACTTTGCCTTTAGGAGGCAGATGAATGACAGGAAATTATGGGAGTTGTTGAATTCCTCAACACACTGGACACCTTTAATGGGCTTTAGATTGGGGAAGATAAATTATGGTGGAGAAGTAACAACAAAAGGGTATTCAGAGTTAACAAAGCTTACCGGAGATAGACCAACCTAGTAATCATAATCTAATTTGGCCTTGGAAGCAAATTTGGAAAAATAGGATACATTACAAAAGGTCTTGTTTCATCTGGTTATTGGCCAAAGAAGTAGCTTTGACCTAGGACAATGTGATGAAGAGAGGGATAACCTTATGCACAATATGCTTTCTTTGTAAGGAAACATATGAGACATTGAACCATTTGTTTCTACACCGCACTTACACTCTGAAGCTATAGAGAATATTTCTAAGTCTCAAAGGCATCTCCTAGACCATGCCCAGGAAAGTCTCAGAGGCTCTGAAGAGTGGGGAGGAA